GAGAGAGAGAGAGAGAGAGAGAGAGAGAGCGAGAGACTTGGCGTCCTCACTCAGGCCCCTCCTGTACATGTTTTGTGAGGACATTGGACAAATGAAGATACAAGGAGATGTCAAAGTAATTTGAAGTAGCTTTTGATTGTGCTAATTATGTCATGCTCACACCTCCCACGTTGACATTTTAGCCCATTAAGAGCGCCGCCCGAGTGCATGCGTTCTTGCTCCTTTGTGATCGAGCTTAAATGTCCTAATGAATAAAACAAACGCCTCTGTCACTACGTGTTCCACATGAACTCGGCATATTAGTGGTGCGCTGGATGCGAACATTGGAAGAATTGGTGTCCATTTTATGATAATTAACAAGGAAAAAAAAAATCAAATGATGATAAACAGAGTTGAAGAAATTGGAATAAAATCTCAAAGGCAAAATGAAGCCTGCATTCTCAATCTTGTTTTAACTTGAAAACACCACAGTGAGTCAAACTGCATTCCTCCCAACACTGCGTCCGGATTCCAATTGTTACATTAAAAACCCTTCAGAAGCGAGCCACAAAGCCGAGCCAACTGCTTTCTTCCGTCTTGTCGGATTCCGTACGCGTGTTGTTCCTTCTGCTCTCTTTACAAAGCAAAGCAGCTGTTTTTTATCACTAAAGCTGGAATGCTTTGACTTATTTTCTGACAAATAGCAGTGTCTGTACTCACTGCTGTTGTGGTGGTACACTCGCCTGACTTGTGCGTGGCCATCGTGGGAACGGTCGCCAGTTGGTGACAGTATGGATGTGCGGATGAATGGTTGTTTGTGAATGGGTGCGCCCTGTGACTAACTGGCAACCCAGTTCAGGGTGTGGTCCGCCTTTCGCCCCAAAGTCAACTGGGATAGGCTCCAGTAACCCCCCGCGGCCCCGATCAGGATAAGCGGCATTGAGGATGGATGGATGCTCGTGATTGACGCCACCTGAAGTGCAAAAGGGGCTTCCCTACTTTCACCGTGTTTGATATGAACTGCATTTTTGTCTGCGCCGAGCCCCGTGCTCTAAATTACCACGCTGGCATCTCTGCACTCCTTTGTCAATGTCGGCGTTTTGACAGTGTGTACCGGCCAAAGTGCTGCGGCTCCACACAGTCGCTGACTAACTCGCGAAATCAAATAGCCCTCCGCAGACAGCCGCGTTGATCCAAGTGAAAGGTCAACAGAGATGTTAGCGATGCAAGGCTCACAAGGCCTCAACGGACCGCTGCTCTTTCCCTTTTTCCGTGTAGATAACCACACCATGGCGTCGCACTCGTCTGTGAGCATTCGGATTCTGGATGTGAACGACAATCCCCCTGAGCTGGCCACACCTTATGAAGCCTCCATATGCGAAGATGCCAAGGCGGGACAGGTACATTTTCCTTTCATTTTAGATCTACGCTCCCGGCAGCACGGCGTTAAAAATCAAAGCGGGTTTTTGATTCATTTATGCCACAGCAATACATTTTCAAAAATTTCGCCTTCTATGCTTTTCTGTGACTCTTCCAGTCTTTCTTTGTGCCCAATGTTGCAAAAGTGTTGCTTGTGCAGAAAGCGTGTGACAGTTTGTGATTCTGCAGAATTACACTGAGAGTGACACGACAATGCATGTTTCGTTTTCAAAACATCACCGGTTGCTAATGCTAATGTCACTGGAAAATCCCATCGACATGCTCACGGCAAATTAGCATCAATTTCCAGATTCAGAATTCAGATTCAGAATTCTGAATCTGGAAATTGATGCTAATTGATGCTCCAATTTCCCAACATACAGGTAACCACAACTTTGCTCAAAGGCACATATTCTTCCCAATCTGTAAAGAAATTAGTTATATCAACACAGGCTTCGGAAAATATGACCCCCGAGGTCACAGGTTAGCCCAGAAAATCCCAAGACTTGGCATAAGACAGGCTATGATGGTAGTTTTAAGTCGTGGAGTTTTAGTAGTTGAACGCACCAAGCAGAGCAGGAGGAGCGAGCGACAAAAAAAAAAGAAAAAGGAATTTATTTTGGGGCATGAAACAGCGTGAAAAGTCACGGGCCCAGGTGAGACCATTTCCCCTTTTGATGGGTTCTTGCTCTTTTTGCTGATAAAACATGAAAAATTCAAAGGGTTATTCGGGTGTTTTATGCTCCACACACACATGCACGCACACGCAGTTGAAATGCCCTGGGCTAACTTGGACCCAATGACATGTTTCAAACAAAGGGGTAATTAAAAAACACGGCTTAAAAAAACAGCTCCGCCTCCATGCTGGATGGCGTATTTACATGTAATGAGGCTCGGGTCTGTCCTCCTCTTGATCCGTGGGGCTTTAAACGCTTCCATTTCCCAACTCCTGCCGCCACCCGCCACTTTTTTTCCCCCTTCCACCTCCTTCCCTCCCCCCACCGGAGGAAGCCCGCATTAACCCCCAGCTCCTAATCACACCAAGTTGATTAGACGTCCTGCACCAAAACCGTATTTTGCAAGCTCTTCGTGTGAATACACGGAAATGCCTACGTGGCAAGCGGAGGCACCCGTGAGGGGAGACGGAAAGGTGGGGGGGTGCATATGAAAGGTTATTCGCATCAATTTTTACCTGTCTGTTCTTGCTTTTTATGGTGTTGTGGAGATGGGTGCCGCTGCTGCTGCTGCTGGGATTGAATGAAAATGTATTTGCCTTTTGCCAAAGGCTTTCCAGCACTCATTTTCAGTCTCTGTGGAATTCACGGGAGGCAGCCTGAGGGAAAACAATCCCCCCCCCCCACACCCCCCTCCCAGTTATTTTCAAAAGTTACGGGGGTCCGACTGAAATGCCGTATGATTCAATAGGGATAGGTTGCGTCAGCTGAGCTCGCAGGCGTTCAGAGCAGAGGAGGTTGACAAAGGGGCATGCGGGGACGGCAAAATGCTGCAATTCCGTTCAAATGAATTGCCAATTTCAAATTCCAGACTCACGTAAGGTAGTTGGAATTGTGATGTCATTTTCAGTCGATAGCGAGCGGCAGTACAAGGCAAAATGGCAGCCCCCCGAGAGCGGGCGGATTTTTCCGCTGAATTCGTATTTCACAAAAAACAATATTGATCAGAATAGCGTGTTTCGACGAGTGGAGCCGCAAAACATACTTTTGTCAAGATCAAGTTGGACTTGATTTCCCCTTTGACACCCTTCTTACTGAGTTTCATCGGATTGTTTTATATTCATGGATTAAAAGTGTTTGTTTTTTTTTTCCCCCATGTAGCACTGCATTAGCGTAGGTTAGCGATAGACTAGCGGAAAGCTGTCTGAAACTTTTTCTTTCTAGACATATGTATGTGTGTATATATATATATATATATATATATATATATATATATGTATATATATACTGTGTGTATAT